CTTGCCTGATGATTTCTGGATGTTTTACAGTAGATCTTCAGGGTTTCTACCCCTTGGTTGTATAACAGCATATACAACAGAGAGTTTCTTCCCTCTGCATAAGGCTTCTGAAATGTAGAAAATGTTGTGGTTGTTGGTGGTCATGGAGCTCCAGAAGTGATTTTTGCTTAAAAGGACTGTGAGCTTGGCTCTGATACTTAAAATGGCCTGAGCCATTCTACCAGGTGTCTTTAGGTATGCACAGACAAGCTGAAATGCCATGTTCTCACATCAGCAATGACTTTTCCATCTCTTTAATGGAAGAGATGATTTCATGTACAGAATCGTTGCTTCATTTGTATGAATATGAACACAGACTTACAGGGCCTCTTTGTATTTCAGCCCTTGCAAGAGCCAGAATTTAGTTTACAGTGGATTTTGCACATCTCAGAATGTTCAGTTGCAAGGAAATATATGTTGGTGGTATACCAGGTTTGTGCTAGTTCTTCTTGCAGGTTCTTGGTCCTCAGTCTGTCCTCCTTTACTGGTCTGTAAAGAATTAGATTTCTCGGGCAGCATCCGCGTACAGTCGCGAAGTCGTGTCCGACCCATCGTGACCCCATGGACAACATTCCTCCAGGCCTTCCTATCCTCCACCATCCCTGCAGACCACTCAAGCTCACACCGACTGCTTCAGTGACTCCATCTAGCCACCTCATTCTCTGCTGTCCCCTTCTTCTTTTGCCATCTATTGTTCCCAGCATTAGACTCTTCTCCAGGGAGTCCTTCCTTCTCATTAGGTGGCCAAAGTATTTGAGCTTCATCTTCAGGATCTGGCCTTTTAAAGAGCAGTCAGGGTTGATCTCCTCTAGGACTGACTGGTTTGATCACCTTGCGGTCCAAGAACTCGCAGGAGTCTTCTCCAGCACCACAATTCAAAGGCCTCAATCCATTGGCACTCAGCCTTCCTTATGGTCCTTTCACAGCCATGCATTGCAACTGGGAAAAGCATAGCCTTGACTATACGCACTTTTGTTGGCAGGGTGATGTCTCTGCTTTTTAGTATGCTATCTAGATTTGCCATAGTTTTCCTCCCCAGGAACAAGCGTCTTTTAATTTCTTGGCTGCAGTCCCTGTCTGCGGTGATCTTGGAGCCCAGGAAAATAAAATCTGTCGCTACCTCCATTTCTTCCACATCTATTTGCCAGGAAGTGAGAGGACTGGATGCCTTAGTTTTTAGTTTTCTTAATGTTGAGTTTCAAGCCAACTTTTGCACTCTCCTCCTTCACCCTCATCAAGAGGCTCTTTAGTTCCTCTTCACTTTTTGCCATGAGAGTGGTATCATCTGCATATCTGAGGTTGTTGATATTTCTCCCAGCAATCTCAATTCCAACTGGTGATTCATCTAGTCCCGCCTTTCTCATGATGTGCTCCGCATATAAGTTAAATAGGCAGGGAGACAGTATACAGCCTTGCCAAACTTCTTTCTTAATTTTGAACCAATCAGTGGTTCCGTGTCCAGTTCTCACTGTTGCTTCTTGACCCGCATATAGGTTTCTCAAGAAACAAATAAGATGGTCTGGTACTCCCATCTCTTTCAGAACTTGCCACAATTATCAGATCTAATTTCTTAAATCTATTTGTCACCTCTACTGTATATTCATCAGGGATATGATTTAGGTCATACCTGAGTGGCCTAGTCCTTTTCCCTACTTTCTTCAATTTAAGCCTAAATTTTGCAACGAGAAGCTCATGATCTGAGCCACAGTCAGCTCCTGGTCTAGTTTTTACTGACTGGATAGAGCTTCTCCATCTTTGGGTGCAGAGCACATAGTCAATCTGATTTCTGTGTTGACCGTCTGGTGATGTCCATGTGTAGAGTCATCTCTTGGGTTGTTCGAAAAGAATGTTTGCTACGACCATCGTATTCTCTTGACAAAATTCTACCAGCCTGTGCCTTGCTTCATTTTGTACTCCAAGGCCAAACTTGCCTGTTATTCCAGTTATCTTT